CTTTCGGGACCGCACAGGGTCCCTTCATCAGGTCAATGCTAAAGCCTGATGAAAGGACCCTGTGCGGTCCCCGAAAGTGCAGAGCGTCACATGACGTCATCATGGGTGACATTTTTTTGCAGAGCGAGCGGTGGCCAGATCAGCCACCAGCGTCTTCTGCGCACGCGCGCCCACATTTTAGAGCATATATTGGTATACACCAAGATGGCGGCGCCCAGATATATTCAGGTGCCGCCATCTTGGTGTATACCAAAATATACTCCAAAATGGCGGCACCATGCTGGTGGTCTATACAGCCGCCGCTCGTTCTGCAGTTTTTTTTGTGCGGTCTCGGGAGGCTCGTTGCCTCCGAATCTGAAACGGCATTAAAATTAGCTTCCATCGACAACACGAATGAAAATGTTTTTCGTTTTCATTTGTTTCGCCCGAAACACATTTTTTTTGCCCTGCGCATGTCTAGTTATCGGCTGACCTGCAATAAAGTAAAACTTTTTTTTTCTAGTATTTTTTTTTTAAATACTGTAATTGTACGTGACAGTTACAATACTAAACAGATTTCATTGTGGATGCCACCGCAGCCTGAAGTTTGCAAGATTTTATCAATGAGGTTGACATAGTAATCACATGGTCAGGAACCGCTCTGATTGGTCCCCGATTGTCAGTGAAGACTGGAAATCTGACACCCGGGACTGAGAGCCACCAACCGCGCAAAGTGTCTGCTTTTGGCTCTCAAGTAAAGAAGCTTTGCTAATGTTGATATTCAGATGGTGGACGGGGGCGGGGGAGGGGTCACATGCTACTTGCTGAAACCTTTTATATATTTTGTCTCAGGACCGGCATGTAAACACAGACATACCCGCAGGGTGATGTGCACCAACTACCTGGTCGGCTTCTGTCCGGAGGGCCCCCATTGTAAATATGTGCAGTAAGTAAGAGCCGGCCTTCGCTATGCGACATTCATGGAGACTGGACGAGGTTGGCGGAGGCTGCAATTGGGCAAATTTGTACAATTGTTCAGATATAAATACATTGCAAGGTGTGTGCGCTGCCATGGAGGACTGTAGCTGAAAGCTCTCCAAGTATATCTAGAGCCAAAATGTTGGTGGGGCAAATGATTATAAACTCCCGCCAGGTTACTTTTTGCCATCTGTACCCCCGTTGGTGAATTCCCCTTCACTTCCTGTCTCGTAGAGACAACAGGAAGTTAGAGGAAATCCCCTACAAAGTGAGGGAAATCCCCTCTTAAACAGTCATCGGTGTGTGCGTCTGCATTGGAAGATTTCCTCATGATTCTACTTTAGTGATGAATCAAAATATCAGATTTTTTTTCCTCATTTTCAGTCCTGCCGACAACAAAAAACAACTTTTACGGCAAAATTCACCTTCAATCCAGAGAGTCCCCCCCTCCCCCCCCCCCGCAGTGCCACTAGATGTCAGCAGCCTGATGGCCAACATGATTCAACCCAATTCCTCTGAGCCCAGGTTCCTCTGGGCCTGCCTGTGATTGGACAGGGGGAGGAGAAGCAGCGGAGTGATGAGCTCATCACTCTGTCACTCTGCTCTCTCCTTCTATCAGCATAATTCTTGTCAGCACATGAACTGCTTGGCTCCTTGTGCTGCTTTTTCCTTTCGCACTCCAGCCCCGCTGTACAGGGACTGCAAGAGGCCGATACCGGGTCACAATTGTGTGCTTGTGGTTTGCTACACTACACTGAATGATGTATTGAGGATGACAGCGCTGCATTGGTTCACGTCTTCATCTTAGCGATTACATGCGCGTCTGTTTTAATGAATAATTTATTTCATTTCTTGCAGCCCCAAAGCCGATTTGGTTCTTTGCAGTCCGGACCACCTAAAGGTAACAATGTATAAATATAAATGATTCATTGTAATTAGAGACTCTGGAGTATGTATGACTAGAGCCGGGAGGGCGGTGTAGTATCTCCTTGTTACCAATAGGTGGGGGCGGTGTAGTACCTCCTTGTTACCAATAGGTGGGGGCGGTGTAGTACCTCCTTGTTACCAATAGGTGGGGGTGGTGTAGTACCTCCTTGTTACCAATAGGTGGGGGCGGTGTAGTACCTCCTTGTTACCAATAGGTGGGGG